GTACACCGTACCTCGTGATCCAGCCAATCAGATCTTCCCTAGTACACCGTACCTCGTGATCCGGCCAATCAGATCTTCCCTAGCACAACGGACCTCGTCCAGACAATCAGATCTTCCATAGTACACCGTACCTCGTGATCCAGCCAATCAGATCTTCCCTAGTACACCGTACCTCGTGATCCGGCCAATCAGATCTTCCCTAGCACAACGGACCTCGTCCAGACAATCAGATCTTCCATAGTACACCGTACCTCGTCCTGACAATCGGATCTTCAATAATATACAGAACCTAAAATACAATATGAAATTCTTTAATGACAAGAAAAAAGCAGCGTGATTTCATACTAGGAGAATAATCACTTTCAAAATTTGTGAGACTGCTGTTGAACAAAAGGAACGACATTAGTATTACCATACTAGTGGACTATTGCAAATCCTGTGTTCTGATTGGCTACGTTTTTCGGGGTCAATTTCGATAGTCCTCGAATAATGAAAAGCTCCTATTTTGATTTTCTTTTAGACATATTTTGACCATTTTAAGTTTTTTGACTCAAACAAGCTTTCACCAACGTGTACATGCAAACATGCGAAGAGTGTCAAACGACGCCGGAGAAAATTTATGTAAATTAAATTAAAGCCATAAGGGAAAATTTTGTAACAATGAAAACTTTTTTTTTATTTATATATATATTTCTTCATTTTTTTATCCAACTAGTATGGTTATACTAAAACAATTAGACCTTTGGGCCTCGTTTACCAGTCCACTCGCCCTCGATATCTAATTGTGAACTATCGCTAGATGTGATGTTATAGTAGGAGAATCGTTGGCAAGTCCAGAATCTGTTTGTTTGTGAACCTCTCACTCCCTCTTTTTCCCGTTATCATAAGGGTGCAAAACACCATCCTGATCCCTCGATTGTCCTACAAGCGACCCGCTTGCGTACTCGTAAAAAATACCGATACGTAAGACCCATTTTCACCAGCGACGTATAAGAAGACTCAGAGACGGAGGGCACTTACCCTTGTGCGAGAATTAACAAACGGAAAAGTGAGTGGTGAACAAACAGAATAACAAATGAAAACCTTCCTTTCTGCTTCCATTATTCAGCGCTTCCGCCTCCTTATCCGCGGCTAAATTCATAAGTGAAAACCATTTGTTGATTTATGTTGCTCATTTCACATTTCCCTATCTACTCGATAACGTTTTAAGTGTGTTTTACAGGTGCAGGTTGGGATGATTCGATTAAGTCTGTTGCAGTTTCAACACTCAAGCTACAGATAATGGCTGCCTCTCAGAACTCTCAAGTATGTTCACATAAGCATTTTCCGTGAAATGCATTTATTTTTAAAAAATGGATGAGGCTATATAGAAATAAAATTAACCACTCGTTGATTTAGATGAGTGGGTTATAAGCTATAATGGACGAGGATGAGAGAGAAAAAAAAGACATTCTTGAAAAAAGCATCATTTGACTACAGCCACTATAATGCATCCTGAAATGTTTGAATCCATGGATGAGACCTACAGTCAAGAGACATGAAGCGCCCCCCGAATAGTTCGTTATTCAATGCATTATTGGCATTTTTCATTTCATTTTTCGTTTTCAATTTTCAGTTGATTAATGCAAAATTAAATTCAAATCTCAAACTGATAATGACAGAAAACAACACAGCATTTCCAGCGTTTTGAGATCGTCATTCCTTTCTCTTTTGATGCGTTTCTTTCGTCATGGTCCGTACTAAAAACAACTCTCCCCAGACACCTTAAACATTGTCGTAATGTTAATTCCCCGAGGGATTGGGGGGCGTGGTTTCAACTGATACATAATAATGTGTTGCTTTTTTCTGTTAACAGGTTAAGATAGATGTATCCGATAAATCCCAAGATTTCAGGCAAGCTACTTTCATAATGTACAATTGTGCAAGATTAGCCAAACTCTTCCATCACTATGAAGAAAGTGTACAACAAGGTATGTGTKATGTATTTAAACGGTTACCTGTGGTCGGGCATGAAATCTCAAGTCATAAATTTGCATAAAGTATAAACGAAAGCGAAGCAAGCTTGACAAAAAAGTAAAGCATAACATTTGCCCAACTTGTAAATAAGCTCATGGGCATTCAAGTGTAGTTTACAACATGAGCGGCTGTGTTGCAACACGGACGCGAATGTTGTAAACGACTTAAAACTCCAACACAAATTAACATGAATTACAGTGAGATAAATGACAAAAAATCACAATTAAGATAACTGCTGAGTTTACGGTCGCTCTAGCCTCCTCCCCAGGCAACTCTTTTTTCCTCCTTTGGGCTTCCTTTGTAACGGTCATCTTGGCCGCTAGGGACTAGTGACGAGAAAGGAAAAATAAAAAGAGGAGCTTCCCTTTTCTCGCCCCCATTCTCCCTCTTTTGACTCCCAAAAAAGACAGGAATCCCGTGAGTCTTTGTGATTCTTTGTGATGCCTGCGGAGTACGCTTCCCTTTTCTCGCCCCCATTCTCCCTCTTTTGACTCCCAAAAAAGACAGGAATCCCGTGAGTCTTTGTGATTCTTTGAGATGCCTGCGGAGGAGGCTACGGTCGCTCATGTTGTAAACTATACATTTCATGAGGAAAATTGGGGTTCCTTTGCCTTCTATACTTCCCTAATGCAGTGCACAATGCAAATATATAGACTAGATACCCCTCAAAAGAGATTCTACTGAAAACAAGTTTTCTACACCATCTGGCACTACCATGTCTTGCATGTGGGACATTGTTTACCTAACTGCGCATGCCTGTGCACTTAATTAAAAAAAACGAAAATGCATATGACAGATTTATGCGCAGTCACATAAAAGATATAAAAAATCACTTGTTTAAAATCATTTGTCATAGCACCACATTTCACTTACACTTTTGCCAACTCGAAATGAAGCATCGAAAGAAATASCATTTAATACAGCAAAACTGATATAATCAATCTTAATTTAATGAACTTCGTTGTCTGTTCTAAACGAAAATCTCTCAGCAATGTTGTTTGAGCATTGTATACGAGTTTTAATTCTGTGATATAAATATTATCTTTGGTACCCTAAGGGACTACAAAACAAGTGTATGAAATAGTACTAACGAACCAATGTTGAAATGTTTAATTACACGATAGAAGACAAAGTAACGTATTTGAAAACTGTTGTTTGATTAAATCATTATCAAGCCTAGGTGTACAACACGCTAATGAGCTAGTTATGCATTTTGGCGTTGTTTACGCTAAAGTAATAYCATGTCACTCTCGTGAAATTCCCCGATACCTCGTTCCATGGTATTACTTATAATTAACCGCGTTATTGTTCCCATGTTCCGAATTCATGTTTTAGGTCATTATCCACCTTTGCCGCAGATCGATGAAGTTGACTTTAGCCTTCTGCGAGAAAAGGTAATCATGGACAGTTCAAACACGGTATTCAGTTGAAGAAAACAGCGTCTGAATATAGCGTACTTTTATAATATGAATCGCACTGTTGTCCTTCACGAGTTTCTAAGGTTTCTTGTGATTGGAAGAATAAAACAATGCTCAATGTTTCCTCGTTCTTAAATCCTGTTGTTTTCTTTTATTTAAACAAATAGCTAGTAAACCAAACGGATAAGGAATTGCAAAACCGTGAAAGGCTACTCCAATCGCAACCTGAGCCATGTAAATGGGGTTTTGTAAAAGTTTTGTGATTCTCTTAAAAAGAATCAGAAAGTCACGGAATGGAAACAAAGTAAGAGTTTTGACAGCTTAACACTTAGGTCTACTTTTGCAATCCATCGCAGCAACTTCCATGCCATAGCATGCACAGTGCACCCCTAATCGAGAAACGTTCCTTACAATATTTTCCAGGCGCGTGCTCTAACAACTGAAAATAAAATAAAACATAAAAGATATTTTCTACCAAGATTGGAACGCAAAGCCTATAAGAATTACAGCAACTGTTAGATAGAGGATTGAGCTAGTAGTACAAGGAGAATAACAGAAATCTCTTGAGCCATTTTATTGAAAATTGACTTTTTGTGATTTTTAACATCCCGTACAATTTTAGTAACTATTCATCCGCCAGTAAAAATACTGTAATTCTTTCAATTTGAAAGTTATAGAACTGAAATTTACACACACTGATGTTGGCAAATGGATGTACAACTTACCGCAAGATCTTGGCAGTTGGTTGTATATTTATTTATGTACAGCTGTGTATTTTATGCAGGTCAAAGTTTGGGCTCATTTTTGAGCCGCGTTCATATCTTAATTTCTGCCTGAGCTTTTCCAATTAAATTTATAGCCTTTATGCAGTTTGATGAGATATACCAATTCTGAAAATTTCATGWTGATYCGACTGTTAGTTTTAGAGTAAATCGTCGAAAACTGAAATTATCACTGTTTGAAAATGCGCTGTATCTTTAAAACCAGCCAATAAATACTGACAACTTACAAAAACTAAAATAGTTACTGCATTTTATATTTAAATTTTAGCACGTTTAACTAATACTTTTGCGAAGCGAGCGAGTTAAAAAAGTACAAAATTCGCGTTTCATTAGTTGTGATCCACCTTAACAAGTGATTTTTTTGCTTAAATAGATTAGTGATGATCGTCCATTTTATTTGTAAGTGCTCAGTGAAAATCCAAGACGGAACTTAGAGCCTCGTTTGGGTTTGCTCGGTGTGAAGTGGGCCCGAAGGTTGCACAATATCTGCAATTAYATGTTTTTTGTAATTACCCTTGAAATTTGGAAAGATTGCGTAAGCAATCGAAGAGTTATTGGAGGGGGACGATGTGTCACTCACTCACTTTTCTGTTAACTTTTAAAGATAGCCGCTGAAAAACAAATCGCAGACTCTCAAAATCCGCTGAAAAAAATCGCAGGCTTTCAAAATGGCGGACCTAGAAATAACCGGCGCCACTGTCCCTCTTACTCGCAGGCTCGATGAAAACCTTTGGCTCTGGAAATGTCCAATATCGGAATCCAGAATGAGGCTACGGATTGAAATGCGCATGATAGGAATTAAACAATTTATTTGACTGATTTTACTCAAGAAAATTGGCTAAATGCAAGAATTCGAAGTCAGAAAAGGGATGTTTTTAGACCTTAGATGATAAATCTATCTTTTTCGAAGCTATTTTAATGATCTATTATGATCAGAACGTAGCAGACAGTGACGGTTAGCGATTATCATGGCTTCACAGTTTGTCGCCTCGCTGTATTCCATTTTATACTTAATTGATCATATTACTCTCAAATGCCCACTTCATAGATTTGTCATAAATGCTTTTAAAGGAAGAATTCAAGGTAAAGTAGAGAAATGCAGAATGATTTGAGTTTTTTTCTCGGTAATATTTTTACTTCTGGCGGCAAGTATGTTTATTTTATCAGCCAATCAAAGAGCGAGAATTTTTCGTCTACTCTAGAGCCAATGTTTTTCGTCGAACCTGCGAGTAAGAGAGACAGWGGGGCTGGGTACGAGATTGGGGAAATATAACGTCTATAAACATGTCTAAAGCTGATCTAAGAGACAATTTTCGTGGAAATTTACTTGACTTGCTTGGAGTACATCGTACTTAGTCATTTTAAAGAAAGTTAGAAAATTTGGATGGATAGCGAAACGAGTTTTGTTGCCGAATTTGTCGGCGAAGACTAACTGAGATCGTAGGTTTGTATGATACTACAGCAATACAATGTTTTAGCTGATCATGATAACCTCTGTGGTACACCTTTCAATTTCATATTCTGTTAATTTTTTTTCAAAATCACCCTACAATCTCCGACAGAAATACATATGTACTTCTATGTATGTATGTGAGATTGATAATTCGATCAAAGAGAAGAGCATGCATCGTTTGTATTTAGTCTCCAAAACACATGAGGCGGGCTGTAACTAAACAACTAAGCATTTTTAGTGTCTAAAGTAATTATTATGTTTTGTAATCGACAGGACGAATGGAAACTTTTAGTCTGTTACGTCATGCAATACCCGGCTGTAGTGCGAGATGCCTTAAATGATCTTCTATCGCCGACTCACGACTCTATTGTGACTGTTAACATCAATAAGATGTGCTGCTTTCTACTGGATCTTTGTAAGGACTTTAGTTCATATTATGGTCGGACACATGTGCTCGGGGTATGTCTGTCTCTATGTCTGCTTATAGGTTTAATTGTACTCGGGTATGATTTTTGTTAATAGTGTCAGTTGTGGTTCGTATCTGCATATTCAATCAAACCATACGCTTTATTTCAGGAACCAAGACCTCACTTATTTCCGTCAATGTTTGCTAGACTTTATCTATTAAAGGCTATACAACAGGTATCCGAGCAAAATCTGATTCATTGAACACACACAACAAACTGCCCTGATCTCAAGAAGACCCTGCAATGGTCTTCAGTACAAAGAACGCCATATTAGGCCTGTCTCCATCCCGGGGGGGGCGGGGGGGTTCGCCTATGTTTACTAGACGGGGACGTTCCGCCAAATAGGGTATGTTTTTGGCCTTCGCGTCTTGAATAGGGTGTACAATTTACATTCASTTGTTTTTCTACAGTTGTCATGTGTCCTCCCGGGTCTCCATAGTCCCTCAAAGTCTTACCATTACAACCAACGCTGATGTGTGTGCATTTTTTAGGTTTTTCACAACTGCCTGGCCTTGATGGACATACAGCCTCTTACTCAGATGTGAACTACAGTATTATAAASTACTATAAACGTGGACTACAGCATTGTACAGTCATTTGCAAAAAATCTGAACCCCTAATATATTATTACATACATCTTGTGAATCGTGGGTAATTTCATGTGATTGCACTCTTATCTCGCTAGATGAGATTGAAAGTCAGTCATACTCTTTGGAATTATGACACCTATTTCATGAAAGATTGCTGGAAAACTTGCACGACCGAAAGGAGTTATACTTTTTTCTTATTGATGGGAAATAATAACTGATTTATACTGCAAAACAGTATGTGGTAATCATAGGCTCCATTTAGTCTCCATTTTCAATAAGCAAGGTTAACCCAGCAAGTAAAATTTTATAAYATAACAGGGCGACCAAAGTCTCATGATCCCCGCAGCGACAATCGCCGTTCGCCGTTATCCCTGACAAGGTTCTTTGGAATAATGATATACTTATTTAGGATTTTTCAAACGTATCATGCTGTATAAAGGCAAATGAAAAGGTGGCGCGTGTAACATCAGCCACACTATATATTGATCTTTTTATATATGTTACCGGTCAAATGTTTTTAAACTGACTCGTAAAGTTTTTCTAAATAACTGAAATAACTGAAAAATGAAATCAAAATTTCAACTGCTGCCATAATTGCATGAATGATTTTTTTTTTGTTGTTGTTGTTTTCTTATTTACTCATGAAATTCGCTTGTGTCCTTCTTCCTTTACGCTGATCTTTCTACTTTTGGGCTTCCTGTCTTCCTTATTGTGATCAAGAGAGACTGCTCAAAGACCAAGGTTCCGGCCGCAGTTCCCGCTCGGCCAAGAGTATACCAGAGGGATCCCAAAAAAGGCCTGTTGGCTGCAGAGGAGCAAGGGTTTACATCAAATAAATGAGTTTAGAATAATTTTAATTAAACATTTTAATATTTAAATTTAAATTGGAATAAAAAGTTAAAATTTTAATTAGAGGGCTGTAGTATGCATACGTGAAAAACTTTAGAGATGTTGAGCATGCACTGGCGTGAACTACACCGTTTTGCTGCGTTTATTAGAAGCGAAGGAATATTGATTTAAGTGAAGACGCATTGTCGACATGTCCGCATTGTCATTATAGCAAACAGATAGACATACAATAGCGCGAACTGAGTTTAAAGAGAACGATGGAACGTTATTAAAGTTCCTATGACGCCTGAAACAATTGCTGATTCTCTTTGAACTCATTCTATATAAAGTAAACAATTAAATGGTGAAATATTTCTGCATTTCAGTGTTGCGTCTTTGAGTTTTGAAGGCTTAATCTTACAATATGCTAATGAAATGACGTCAAGGGAGGCTTCATTAGATATACGAACTTTGAAAAATTGGCTCAAAAATGTGAC